GGTACAGGCCAGAGGCACAGGGGTGGTGAGAGGCTTCACCAGAGACAGAGTGGGGAGCAGAACAGGCAGATTGACGAAGTACACTACTGAGGGGAACAGTGGGTGGGTCAGGAATTCTGCCACGCCATGTGGGTCAGCTCTGGGACTGGGAATTGAACTTGCACTGAAGTGGCTGCAGCCAGATTGCAGTGCTGCCTTCTTATCCATCGTGCCACCAGGGAGGGCCCAAATGGGGATACTTTTAAATGATATTTAGTAGTATTTGGGACTCTTAATTTCACTAGATATTTAGCTAATACATTTAGGATTGTTCATCATTTATTTTAAGGAAGATTAGAATTATGTTATTTCCTTGAGAAATATGTTCTGTCCCTACATGTACAATCTGGGAACTAGGTCTGGGCTATTTTATATCAGTTTCTGTCTAGAGTCATGGAACTTTTTTCTGGTGTTTCTTCTCTGAGGATTGTGATGTTTTGTGGTACCTTCTCAACTTAGTTCTGAGTGCCCCTGCTGTTAAATTGTTACAGGATTCGGTTGATGGACAGACTATCCAATGAATCTGTTATGCTGGTGGTGGAGCTGGTACAAGGCGCTCCAGAGCAACTGCTGGCACTGACCCCAGTTCACCGCACAGCCCTGGCAGAGAAGGCACTACAAAATTTGGTAAGGGTCCATCATACTGGGCTTAGAGCTGCTCTCTGGGCAACCCTAGATAGAGTAGAGGAAGACTATGCTTACTAACTGTCTTCTAGGCCTAACCCACACTTTTGCTACCAAACAGATTCTTGTCTGTAAGGTTTTCATCACTGGGTCTACCTCTGGGTTCTATTCCTGGATAAGCTGTTCCCAGCTTCTTACCCATACTCCTTAGAGTCCAAGAAAATCCTTAGATTCTACTTTCCACTCTTTCTACCTGATCCTATATGGGTTCTTGTTTAAGAAAGTGAACAATGGCAGTGAGCTCCATAGGGTACTTAGAGTTGAGAGCTGAAGGGTCCTGGTCAAAGTCTGGTACTCTGAGTCAGAGGTGCATTTTCCCAAGGCCTGATGTCATTCTCCAGGCTCCAAAGGAGACAACAGTCTCTAAGGAAGTGCTGGAGGCATTGGGCCCTTTGGTTGGATTCCTGGGCATAGAGAACACAAGACGGATCCCCCTACAGATCTTATTGGCCCATCTCAGTCAGCTGCAGGACTTCTGCCTTGGAGAGCCATTTGCTACAGAGCTGGGACGGCTGCTGTCGCAAGAACCTGTTCTCGGGTATGGACTTTAAGGAACTTCAGGCTCTGGCTAATTCTTTACCCAACCTCTCAACTACCAGCTTTGTTCCAGGCAGTCCATTTAAAATGCTTTTGTGCTCCCTTAGATCCCTGAGACCCTAATCCTAGCATGTTCTCTGTTCCTATCCTTTCCCTCACAGTTCCCTCAGCATCCCAGCCCCTGATCTTCTTCCTGTTCCCCAGGAAACCAGAATTGTGGACCCAGGATGAAGTAGAGCAAGCTGGACGCCTAGTGTTCACTCTGTCTACTGAGGCTATATCCTTGATCCCCAGGGTGAGGTGAAGGAACAAGAGAGGGAGTTAGAGCAAAGAGGAGTCTAGTTATGAGTTAAGCCAAGGAGGCTGAGGGCAAAAGAAATAAAACCTGAATATGGGGATTCTGTTAAAGAGACAGGACTTTAGAGTTATAGCTGTAGCATCTGGCCATGATGCTGTGCAGGTCTCCCCACTCTCCCTTTACCTTTGGCAGGAGGCCTTGGGCCCAGAGTCCCTTGAACGGCTCCTAGAGAAGCAGCAGAGCTGGGAGCAGAGCAGAGTTGGGCAGCTATGTGGAGGGCCGCAGCTCAGTCCCAAGAAAGCAGCCCTGGTAACTGGGATTGTGCGGCCTGCTGTGGAGGATCTACCAGGTGAAACTATCCAAACACTCATTTGTGTTGCAGGGCATACCCAGAAAAGTATCCAGTAATGCACTCAGAAGTCTGGGCTTTAGGTGTACTGTGTCCTTGGAGAATATTTGCATACCTGTTTGCTGCTGTGGTTTTCTAATCTATAGAGTTTGGAGAAGTGATTTTCAAGGTTTCTCTGGTTCTGGGGTTCTGTGTCTCTGGGAATTTATAACCTATTGTGTTTTTAGCTCAGGATTCCTTTTCTTGTTTTCACATCTCTATTAACAATTGACTTAGCTCTAGGTTAGCTAAGTGTGCAGTACTTTACTGGGTAAATGCTTAGGATGTAAGAAGGAAATACTGTAAGTCTAAGGACCTGGGTTGTAGTCCAGCTGTGTGTTAGATCTCTTGGCTTCTCCCTTAGCCGTCCATCTATAAAATGTGGAGATTGTCCTCTCCAGTCATTTTTTATTCTAGTATCCTACGAGTCCTATAAATTTCACACTGTGGTACTCCCTCAACCCATGCCTCCCACATTGCTCTGTCCTCCAAAGGCTGGAGGGATCATTCCATCTACCCACCTCTCTCTAGGAATACTTTATTTAAAAAAAAAAAGATTTTATTTATTTATTTATTTATGCATACAGAGCTGGGGTACAAGCCAGAGGTGCAGGGGCAGTGAGAAGATTCACCAGAGACAGAGTGGGGAGCAGAACAGGCAGATCAACGAAGTACACTGCTGAGGGGAGCAGTGGGCAGGTCAGGAGAGATCTGTCTCTAGGCATACTTTAATACTATTCTGACCCTGACTCTCCCTTTTAGAACCTGTGCCAAATTGTGCAGATGTACGTGGGACATTTCCAGCAGCCTGGTCTGCAGCCCAGATTTCAGAGATGGAGCTGGCAGACTTTGAGGACTGCCTGGCACTATTTTCAGGAGACACAGGACTTGGGCCTGAGGAGCTCCGGGCAGCAATGGGCAAGGCAAAGCAGGTTAGGAGTGGAGACATCAATTGGGGACAAAGGTGGAAAATCATGAGGAAGCAGGTTGGGTGTGTTATGGAACATGGAGAATAGAGAGCTGGGTGAGTGGGAGGAAAATGGGAGATAAAAGAATTAGAGGATTTCAAGTTTGAATAGGAAGTCAGAGAGAAAAAATAGTGAGGAAAGGAAGGTAGAGGGATTGCCATAAAGCCTACCAAAGTTTAGTGTGTATCAAAATCATGTGGGAAGTAAATTTTTAAAATGCTATGTTAGACTGGCTGGAGAAGAATCTCTGGAGGTGGGATCTGGGCATCAACATTTTAACAGACATCCAGGGTGAGACTGGTGCCCATAAAAGTTTAAAATTGTAGACTCTACTATTCATTCTAAGAGTCGAGAGTCTTAGTTAAATCTTACAGGTGAGGAAACTAAAGACACAAAGAAGGCAGTAATTTGCCTACAGTTGTATAGGTAAGGACAGAGGCAACACTAAGAGCCAGCATTCTGACTCATACTCCAGTGACTTTTCCATTTACATCGTTCCTCTCTTTCTCCTAGTTGTGGGGTCCTCCCCGGGTATTCCGTCCTGAGCAGATCTTGCAGCTGGGCCGGCTCTTAATAGGTCTAGGAGAACGGGAACTGCAAGAGCTAATCCTGGTGGACTGGGGAGTGCTGAGCACCCTGGGGCAGATAGATGGCTGGAGCTCTTCCCAGGTAGTACCCAGCTGCCACCATCCAAACATCACAGAGATCTGGGCCTCCAGGACATCTAAATCCCAGGGAATTTTTTCCTGTGACCCTGCCTGACCTTTTTTTGTTTTTCTCCCTTCCTATTTTATTGATAAATAATTAACATTTAATTATTTAAATGCTTAAATTGTTTAGCATGTTTAAATTGTGTATCATGATGATTCAATTAACTTATCAGTACATTGCAAGATGCTTACCACAGTAGATTCAGCTAACATTTATCTTCATTTGCATCTCTCTGATTACAAATGATGTTGCACATCATTTCATATACGTGTTTACTGGCCATTCTTTTTGTCTTTCTTTAATACCCCATACTAGTGATCTTAGGGACTCTGAGGCACTGGACATATAATACTCCTTCCTGCCTCTTTAACCTGAGCTCATATGCTCATATCCTTTAATATCCTTCCTCTTTTTGCATTCCCAACTTTTCCCATTTTTCTATTGGAACTCCAGGTCCTAATAATAATAATAATAAAATAACACAGTAGCACTTTCCTAGTCACTTCCTCATTCACTGATTCTCTGTCACTTCTCATCCCCCTCCCAGCTCCGAGTTGTGGTCTCCAGTTTCCTGCGGCAGAGTGGCCGGCACGTGAGCCACCTGGACTTCCTTCACCTGACTGCTCTGGGTTACACGCTTTGTGGACTGAGGCCCGAGGAATTACAGCATATCAGCAGTTGGGAGTTTAGGTCTCCAGTGGAGGGGGTTTGGGTGGTGGTAAGGTAAAGGAGGACTCCCTGGGAAGAAAATGATCAGGAGTGGTTCCGTAGAACAAGGGCATTCACTTGAAGCCATCTCTGACCCCACCTCATCCTCCTGACTCTGGACCTTGTCACCATAGTTGAATGCTATCTTCATTCTTACTCTTCCACAGCCAAGCAGCTCTCTTCCTGGGCAACCTACCTCTCCAGTGCTCTGAGGAACAACTGGAGGTACTGGCCCAGCTCCTTGTGTTGCCTGGTGGTTTTGGCCCAGTCAGTAACTGGGGGCCTGAGATCTTCACTGAGATTGGCACAATAGCAGGTAGGAGACTGGGCTACTGCTGGTTCTACTTGTCAGGTGTTTGCCTTCATACCATGGGTGGATTGGATGGAGCACTGCTCTAGAGTTCTTAAGGTTGGAGTCGGGGAACGTGTTTAGATTAGAGATTGAGCACGTGTTGGGGAGGAACTGTAGTAAGGTACAGTTGGAAGTAGTTGGAGAAAGTATGGAGAAGGGAGGATACCCCAAGACAGTTTTGGGTGCCTATCTCGCTTGTTTTAACAGCTGGGATCCCAGATCTGGCTCTTTCAGCATTGCTGCAGGAACAGATACAAGGACTTACCCCTCTGGCCATTTCTGTCATTCCTGCTCCTAAATTTGCTGTAAGTATTGATATTTGGGATCCTGGGGTAGCCACAAGAAAGCCAGGGTTCAATAAAGGCTACAATGCATGTAGTGATTCCTGCCCCCCACCTGCAGGTGGTGTTCAGCCCCACCCAGCTATCTAGTCTCACAAGTGTTCAGGCTGTGGCTGTCACTCCTGAGCAAATGGCCTTTCTGAGTCCTGAGCAGCGACAAGCAGTTGCATGGGCCCAGCATGAAGGCAAGGAAAGCCCAGAACAGCAGGGTGAGTTCTCAGTTGCACAGCCTGGCCTTTCATCTCCTGACTCAGAATTTAGTCCCTAACTTGATGCTTTCTGGCTCATAGAATCCACCCAGGGAGATCCCTGGAGTGAAGATCTATAGGAAGATTCTTTCCAATGATCAGTGGCTCCTGGGGAGTGGAGCTGTGGTATTTCTTCCATTCTCTGTCTCATTATAGGTCGAAGTACAGCCTGGGGCCTCCAGGACTGGTCACAATCATCCTGGGCCCTGGCACTGACCATCTGCTCCCTTGGCAACCTGCTATGAACCTATCTGTATCATTAAGAGAGATTGATGGAAAAGGAACCTTAAGTCATAATGAATAAAGTGCAAATGAAAATGCATTCTAATTATTCTTAGGAAGCTGATGAGGAATATGGGTAAAATGTAAATGCTCTCCACCCACCCAAGAATTAGTGTTCCTGGCATGTCATTGCTAGAGTCTCTTTCCATCATAAATAACCCTATAACCCTATTAACTGTTTTTTTTTTTTTTCCTGGAGGCTACTCCCGCTTCACCCTGCCATTAGAAATAACACAGACAGCTGGAGTATAGCATAGGAGTCTTTACTAGCACAAACAGATTGGTGGGGACAAAGGGAGAAAAATCAAGGGCAAGTAGAGTGGGCCACCATTAGAGTGATAGCAGTTCTGGAGATCTTGAGGCATCTGCTGGGGATGGAGAGTTAATGCTTGCTGTGTATAAGAGGTGGAGGGATGCGGATATCCTGGCCTCTCTCCAGACGCCGTTCACAGTCAATCAAATAGTTTACTCCATCGATGACCAGTTGCACCAGCTCCACCTGAAGGACACTAACCCTTGGTCTCTGCTTCTTATAACCTGAATTTCTTTCCTTAGCACTGACTTGTCTGTCCTGGAAAGTCATTTTCAATTGCCACCCCAGTCAACCTGAATGTAAATTCCCGAGGCACACTTACTGTCATGTTTCAATCCCCACAAACCTGTATCTTTCCTCATCTTAAAGATTCCTAAGGATCTCACCTCTGATTTACCCAGTCGGTCCAAATTAGAGATGTCAAAGACACTGCCCGTGGCTGCTGTGTCCACTCCTCCAGTACCACGCTTTTGGAGTCTTAGGTTCTCCAGGATCTTTGGGAAGCGGTTATCCTGTAGGAGAGAGAGGGGTTGGGTCATGGTCAACAGAGCCAGAATCTGGTCTACCTGAAAGAGCCCTGAACCTGCTCAGAGTCTTCCCCCGACCCAATAGCGACAATGTGTCTAGCTCCACAGTGCCTCATCCATACATAGCCACCTTCCTCTTCACAGCTCTCTCTCACTCCACAATAACTTTACTTTGCTCAAGAGGGGCAGTCTGATGTGCACTCCTGCTCGAAGTCCGGTGCCCAGGTTAGATGGACAGGTCAAGATGTATCCTAGACGCTCGTTCCACATGAACTCCCAGCCACGCTCCTGGATCAGTCGTTCCACCTGAGGCCACAAAGACTGAGTTAGTAAAAAGTCAAGGGTATGTGGACCTGCCCTTAGCTAGACCCACAGGAACTCTAGAAATACATTTAGAGCCAGAAATATGGGATGTGAAAGAATGATGTCCTTTCTTTTTGGTAGAAATGGTTGTTATTATCATGCAGATGGGTAATTTTGATGTGGCAAGCCCATAATAATGAGATTATAAAAATATCTTGTGTGTGGAAGAAGAGGATCTTAAGGTATAATCCAGGAAGAGTGATCTAGGGGAAACTAACGGAGGTGGTAGGAGGTGGTAAGCCTAACGGAGAAGGGATTACTTATTCAATAAATTCTGCATGTATTATCTTTGCTTTGCTAATGAGCCTGGAGCTTGAAAGAGTCCTTTCAGACAAAAAATAAGGGTGTAGGCTTTGTAACAGGAAGAGGCAAGAAAGCCTTCTGTTAGCTGTAGAAAAAGCACATGTGAGAAAGCAGAGAGGTGAAAATAGTACAGAAGAGCTGGACTGATAGATCTGTGTGAGAGGGGTGCGGGAATGTGGGAAGATTGCTTCTTCTCTTCAAAGTCCTAATCATAAAGATGACTAAAAGAGTTGAAGAGGTGGGTGATCTGCCAGCATGATGGATACAAAGACCTTAGCTTACACTAGTAAAGGGGACCTTATTCATGCTCAGAAAGACCCATGCTGAACACGGGGAAATCTTTTTATCTAGGACAATAATACTTAACACTTGAGCACTTACTAAAGGTCAGGCACTTTACATGCATTATCTCATTTAGTCCCCACAATAACCTAAGACATTGGAAGTCTCACTATCCTAATTTACAGACAAAGAAACCAGAGATATATAATTTAATTTAAAAAGTACTTTCTGACTCATTTTCAGTCAGAATCTGTTATCTATTATTTGCCACAAACAACTGAAACTTTCCAACTAGATTCTAAAAGTAAGAAGGATTTTGTCTTTCCAAGTCCAAAATAGAAATGTGTAGATGAGAATACATCCTAGGTATTGGACTTATGGGGATTTCTAAACCAGAATTGAATATTCCAACCTAGAATTGAATCCACTTTAACTGAGGCCACATTCTAGAACTTAAGGCATTCAATATTCCCCCACTTGTTCTTAACTTCAAGCCTAGAGCTAACACTTTAACAAAAATGACAGAATTCAGAGTTAAGGCCTACCTTGGCTCAGAACTGGATGGTTACATTAGAATCATGAAAATACCACTCTTTTGTCCTTGCATCTACCTAAGCTTAAATTGTTTCCTTATCTACAGTCCCCATCATCATACAGTCCAGGCACTGACCTACAATCTTAGTCACTCTGCTTTTTTTTGTTTGTTTGCATAATATGGTAATGACTTTATTTACTTCCTTAAATTCCTGATATTTTTTTTTCTATCTATTCTTAGAATAACCAAAAATCCTGGTATTCCCTGGATAATCCTAATTTATACCTATATCCTGGAGTGATTGATAGTGATCCCTTTCACTCCCAGAAATGTCCTGGGCTGGTTGATAAATTAGGTGGTCAATATAATATCTATTTTAGTGTTTTTTTTTTCTTATGCCCTCCCACCCAGTTTCCTTATCTTTCTTCTCCAACCTCTTTGAGGCCTCTGCAGAATCTTTCAAATACTCTCTTCATGTTGCCACCCTTCTCCATGGAGATGACCCGTGTATGATCCTCTTCATTCACCCAGATCAAGAAGCTCTTTTCATTGTTATGCCTGAGGGGAGGATAGAGGGAGGGACAGCAATCAAGAGACAGGACAAGAAATGGGAAAGGTAGAAACAGAAAGACATAACTTGGGGCACCAAGACAAAAGAGGTATGAAAAGAGGTATCAAAAAGAGGTATCAAAGAGGTATCAAAAGAGGTATGAGTAAAGCTCATACCAAATTCCACGAGCATCTGGCCAGTCACGAGCCATTCCTGCTGCAGTCAGCAATGGGGACACAGGCTTATCAAATAGAAAGTGATCCTGGGGAGAGAAAAGAACTTGGATTAAAAATCTTCCCAGGAGCCCCTAGACCTCTCAGAACCCATCTATCTCATGTGTCCCAGCCTCCCTGCTGACTCTTCTTTTCAACTGCTCCCACTACCCAACTCCCGCTCAAGGCCCCCTCACATCAATAAGCTGCTGCTGCTCAGCCTCTGTCATTTCACTGAGCCGATAATAACGTCCAGTCAGGTCACCCTTCAGGCCACTCAGTGCATCTACCACGACTCGCTCAACCTCTCGTCGTTCTGCCCGAGTGCAGGCTGGAGGCAGACTGAGTCCTCGAATACTTCGGCCAGTTCTGACTCTCGAGGACAATACATACCTTTCATCAAAGTAGCCAGAACGGATCTAAAGAAAAAGAGAAAATAATACAATCAGAGAAAAACTGGGTGGGAACTGAGGACCACGAGGAAGGAGATCCCTTGGGAGCTATAAGCATCTTCCCTGCATGCATTGGAAGGAACCTATTGCCAAGCAGTGCAAGTGAAGAGGGTATTATGACCCTTCCCCCAAACTATCCACTTTGGGGAGCATTTGGAAAGCATGGTCATTATATCTGCTCCTTAAGATACAATTCTTTCCCTACACCAAGATTGAAAGTTCAGCAGTATAATGAGCCAGGAAATAATTCAGGTGAAGGGATTGTAAAAAGCGTTGTTCATAAGGCAATACAAATCAGAAGTGGAATATTTGACTGACCTTGCTGGCATCCAGATCAGTGGTGTGTTTCATGGTCCTGGGGTCATATCCATTGTGTCTCTCTTGGATGACAGGATCAAACAGTTCAGCAAATACCTAAGGAGGAATTAAAAGGGAGAGGGTGGTTAATGAGAAGGAATTCCTTCCTAGGCTTTAATTGTGAATTGATTTCAGAATATTTAAGTATGGATGGTCCAGTCTTGAGGGTAAGTGAGGGGTCTTTAGGAGGAAGGAGCTGGGATTACTGGGAAAATGAGTTGGGTCACCAGGGAAACTCTGGGGGCCCCCTACCTCATAGGTCTCCTCATCTCCTGCTACCATTCCCACAGTCTTGATGAAGGGGTGGCCGGGGTTGTCCACGCCAGTCTGGATACACTGATCTAGCGTCCAACCAGTGGGTGTGGTCTTGTCGCAGAGCCGGGCATAGACTGCTGGGGTCAGGTGACTGGCCATGCAGTTGTTGTGCTTTCGGAGGTCTGGGTACTCAGCGCTAGGGAGGGGGTACCCAGTAACCATGGAGGGAGGGCACAAGGGGCCTAGAGCTGTAGTCAGCTGGGAGCTATGCAGTTAGCCAAGTCTGGGTTTGCTCCTTGGGAGGAGGGGAGATTAGAGGGAGGCTAAACCTTGGTAAGCTCATTATGAACTTCCAGGGTCTATTCTTTCCCAACAGTTCTAGCTTCCTCTGGCTGGCAACTCAGTCAGATCTGCTCAGTTCTTTCCTCCCATGAACACTTTAGAGATGGGGGTGGGGGGGTTGTGGGGGGGAAGATTGACAGGAGAACAGCAGGAAAAGGAGATGGGGGAGAGTGAAAAGGATAGATCCTGGTCTCTCAATTAGAAATTTGGCTGGAATGTGTTGCCGCCAGAACTCACAGGACCAGAGCTGGTCTTGGGGGCGGGGACTGCGGGTTACAGGTCCAAGAATGCTTTCCCTTATAATTTTGGCCTCCACCCCCACCCGACTGAAGTCTCCAGACTATACAGCACCTAACTCCTGAGCCTTCGTGATTATAACCCTTCTCTGTTGCCTGGGTTCTCATCTCCATTTTCACCTTCGTTCCCATTGCCACCTGCCCCCTATCTCCCCTCCCCACGCTTCAGACACTGA